AGTTGAATGACTCAGATTTCCCTTCACTTCTGTGTGAACCCACACTTTCTTGACCCTGTTCTTTGAATGTTCACTGAAAAGGTAGAGGAAGTTGTGTTTTGTTTGCGCGTGTGAATGGAAGTCTGACATGAGTTCGGGACTGCATTGTTTTCTTTTGAACTTGTTGTTTGATCTGATGTGCAGGTAAGTAGAAGGATGCTTGAAAAATAGAGATTTAATCATGTCAACGAAAGTGAATGGAATGATGATCGTTTTCTATTTTTTGCTTGTATGCATGTTGAAGGGATGGGAAAACAGTAGACGACGAGAAATGGAGCGATCACACAAAGGGGAAGAAGTGAATCGGACATAGATTTTTCCCGAGGTTACCCATTCTTTCCCGAATGACCCCCTTTGTCTATGCCCTTCCATCTGAATGTTTTTCTTTTCTGTGATCTCCTTCTTCGTCTAGGTTCGCCCTTGACGCCAGGCGATAAAGGGCTGACCATCTGCTGTAGTAAGTGCATTTCCTTTCCCTAGGAGGCATCTGAGGCGGGGGTTCGTTGCCTTAGGGGCCGACCCTGTTAACAACTCGGAGTGGACCGCTTAGGCGGGGGTATACCATGTTGTCGTGGTGGAGCCAGCCCGACTTCTGAGATCCGAGGTTCGCTCGGGCGAGGACGAGGGGTATCCCAGACCACCTCCTAGGGGATGAACGTGTGCTATTCACGGAAGGCGTTAAGTTCTTGGCCCACTATGGCCCACGTTAAGAAGACCCACTATAGTTTACCCTTCTAGTGACAGTTTTAGGAGCCACGAACGAATGGAGAACTGGTGCCATAAGAAGCCTAGTTCGTGCTTTCACTAGCTATGGACGGAGTGTGTGTTGGCACTACCCTCGTGGATAGGGTTGCACCATAAGAAGTGCAAGCCTGGGGTAATCAGGCTAGTTGACAAAAGAATGTAACTAAAGCATTGCCTTGAATATCTTTATATCGCGGACTGGTATTTCATCACTCGTGAAACAGAAAAAGTAATCATTGCTCAGGAGGACAAAGCGACCAACAAAATTTGAAAATGGATCCTTGACCTTAATGAGGCATTCAACGTTCGGTCGTTCAAGTCGAGTACTGACTCGTATAGTGGTAGCCGGACTACTTGCAAATGACATTCACACCAAAGTTAGGAAGGTAGTGACGTCATCGCTAGAACAGTGTGATCCTAACTCTACTTGAGGGTTGGGACGTCCGCATTTCTTTGCTTGCAGTTAGCATGCGGTGGAATGAAAGAACTTGGCAACGCATCTCATCAAGTCGAAAAAGTCGTGGCAGTCCAACCGTCTGGCAAGTAGAGTGTAGGTACTTTAGTCGGACGCCTTTTGAGCGTCACATCCTGTATAAGTCATGCTTTTGTCCGTTTGTTGACGAGTGGTATGCATGATTGTATTACATATAAGTTGATCTCAGAATACATGTCAGCTTACATTGACCTGAGTCTTCCTTTGATGTTCAACTTTTGATTGTCTTTGGGAAAAAGGACTAGGATTGATTGAGGTTTTCTTACGCTTGGAATATCACGTCCTAGTCGACCGACGTTGGTCCGATTCCTGGGAGATCAGCGCCCCAGGGACGGGCGACGTTCGGGTCCACTTTGGCGTTTAACCATGTGTACCTATGCTACAGCGAACGAGCAAACGCCCTCGGCCGGCCCACCTCTGCAACTGCATTATAAAAGCCTTCGCATGTGGGTCGGTAGCTCGGCGGGGATACGCCCCTAAGGGTGGTGACAGCCCCTTAGGGAAGGTAAGTTGTGCCCCGCGGGAACCTATCCTGTCGTAGGGGACCGTGGGATGTACAGCTGGCGCACTCGGCCGGAGCGGTGAAGGGTCGACGTGGATTACCGTGTCGTCCCCGAGTTGTCTCTAAAAGGTTGAAAACCTAAGTTTCTCCTGCGTGACGCGGCCGGGAGGGCCCTCGCTCGCGTGAGGGCCGATGCGCTCGACATCGCCCACTCCACCCCCCTTATCCCAGGCATACGGTCCAGGTTCAAGCAAAAAAAAAATCCACTGGTCGCTAAGAAGGGTTCCATGGCGTTCCATTTCCCTTCAGGCAATTGCAGGAGCAGCATTCTCCTACACGCATCATTGCAGTATGACTGTACATTGGGGTAGAGTAGTAGATATAGTCGATGATCAGGTAGGGCTGGTAGAGAGAGCCATGAGTGAGAGCAGGCTGGTAGAGAGCCGTGAGTGAGAGCAGGCTGGTAGAGAGCCATGAGTGAGAGCAGAGAACTGTTATGGTTTCTGTATTATAATATTATTGCTTTTTTGGGAGGTCAGGACTCAGAAGAGCTCAGGGCTTTTCATCATCAAAAGGCTTCAGCATGGTCACTTCTTGTCCTGGTGTGCGACCTTTGTCTTTTCATTTCTGCTAATTGTGTGGTCCCCATATGCATGCTGGTCACCACAGTTCATTGTGCTTGTACGCAGAGGGTACAAAAAAAAAAAAAGAAAAAAAAAAGGGGTTTCTCCAGTGCGGTTTCCTTGTACAAGAAGAAAGAAAAA